CATTCTGGATCCAGGCCGACCCAGAGCCCTGAGCCCGGCTGCCTCCGGGACCTGCCTCCTGCTGGACCTCCTGATCCTCCACCGCCTGTTTCTCCTGGATACGGGAGCTGATCTCCGCCTGAAACCTGCACATCTGCTCCTGCAGCTCACTGATGAAGTTAACCACACACTGAGGCCAAGGAGGAGGTGGAAGAGGAGGAGGTGTAGAAAGAGGAGAGGAAAGTCAGGGTTGAACAACAGAAAACCTTCTTCTAGTCCAGGACAACATACGGAGTCCTGCCAAAGATGGACCGGGCTCATCGGATCCCTGGACCGAAGAGTGACCGCCCGAGACCGGTGATCATCACATTTCACAACTCCCAGAATGCTCTCTGATTCACATGTGATGTGTAAACTGTGCATGTTGTAGGATCTGTTGATGAAAGGCCTGGTACGATACTATGACACTTCTATCATCTTCTGTTTTGATCACCACTGCTGTCATGTCATGTTCTGTGGGTTTTATGTTTGACTTAAAAACCAATAAAAAAAACTACAGTGAGACAGGAAGTGACGGTCAGACAGGAAGTGACCGTCAGACAGAACGAGCGCCACATGACAACACAGGAAGTGGTCACACACCCACCCTTTGAAGATATGGAGGAAATGTGTTGAGCTTCAGTGAGAAGATAAAAAATAAAGTGAACGACTTCCTCACTCTTCTGAACTCACTGCTGCCCTCACCAGGAATGTAGAGTTGCTGACATCCTGGATGTAAACCCACAACCTCGGTGTCTATTCTAGAACCAACCAGGTTCTCCAGTGAGAAGGAGAACACATGGAACCGTGATATTCAAATCTGATAAAAGGCCTGGAGCCACCTGCTGGCCATTTATGAAAATACACTCCAGAGGCTCTTCAGGATTGGCTTGACTTTCTACGATCTTCACTGAGGAAACGTCCCGTCTGACTGGACTGGGGTGTGTGTGGGGGGGGGGGTTCTACCTCAAAGACAGAGAGTCAGTACCTCAGCTTTGTCCAGCTGGTCGTCCTGGAGAACCTCTGGCTGAGAACCGTCCGTCTCCTCCACGCTGACCTCCGTCAGCTTCAGTTTCAGGTACGACACCTCGTCCATCAGGTCCAGCTTCTCGGTCTCCAGACGAGTCCTGCGGACCAGCTCCTGGACACACACACAGTCAGTGACCTGCTGAAGGCTTCACGCTGCGGGGGGTGGGGGGTAGGGGGAGGGTCCTGGATGCCTCATCATCCAATCATCATCCCAGAATAACCACAACAGGAACTTCACAGAACTCCCACAGGGCTGTGAATTAGACGGTACCGTGCTGCTGGAACCGCCTCAACAGTTCCATCTCCGACTGAAGTGTTTCTTTAGTGCTTAATTATTTGTCATGCCCCCCCCGGGGACAGAAATGCCCCCCCACCCACCCCGCAACCCACACCCCTGCGAATTGAAATACAGTTGAGAACCTGAAAAAATGTACATTTTATATCTGTACAAACCACTGTATGAGGTGCTGCCACCTAGTGACTG